TAATGTAAAGGTATTAATTCTTCCAAGATTGATCTATAGATTTAACTCAATGTTGACCATATTCCAAACAAAATTTAGGTGGAATTAAAAAGGTGAATGTAAAATAAATGTAGAAATACAAAGGTTCAATATAACCAAAAAAATACTGAACAAGAAAAAAGTGTACCAGATACCAAGACATATTACAAAACCTCAGTAATCACATGGCATGATATTCGTGCATATATAGACAAAAAGAAAACAATGGAAGTGAATTGAAATCCAGAATTAGAGCCATGTATATATTGACAAATATTCATGACACAACTGGAATTGGAGAACAATAGGTAACCAACATTGTTTTTAATAAATGGTGTTGTGTCGATTAGATTCCAAATGAAAAAAGGAACCTTAAGCCATTCTTCACACCAAATTCAATAATCAATTCCAGGTGAAATATAGATCAAATTCAAATGGTAAAACAATAAAGCTTAGTTAGATGACAACAAAATATAATACCATAATGACTTTGGGTAGGCAAATATTTCTTAAACAGGATACAAAATTATAAAGCAAACATTCATAAAGATGAATTTACATCAAAATGAAGAACTTCCCTTTATCAAAATTTTACTTACCAGTGAGTAAAATTGTAATCAGCAGAGACAAAATATATTGCAATACATAAAACAAAGGATTAACATCCAGAACATAGGAACGACTCATAATTTTGATGAAGTTCGAGTTAACTTTTTCCTTTTTGGATCATTCCTTTGGTTTCACATCTAAAAAAATATTTGGTTATCCCAAAGTCTCAGAAATTTTTTATTGGTTTCTCTGTTGCCAGGATTTCTTTTGGCTCTATACTGAAAACTGTTAAATTATATTAACATATATAGAAAACCCACAAATTCATAATCAATAATTAGTATGTGAAAAAAACAAAGCTCTTATCTAACAAAATCTATGGCTACATTAATCCATTATTTTATAGGAGATCCAAGAGCCTATCTTTTAATGTGACCTTCTTTTGGTGGAAAGAGATCAAGTATCAAATAGATTGAATTTAATAATTCTTTTAATTTTCTGCCATTTTCCTTGATTATATATTTTGTAATGGAATATGGGGAAATGATATCTAAAAAGACATTTTCTTTGTACAAATTCCCAATATTTTTAAACAGTTTTCTTAATTTACATGAAATTGATCTTTCAAAAGGTTCTATCAGACTAATAATGAGGCAAACATTCTATAGACCATTTTATTCTGCCTGCAGAAAATTTGAAAATAATCACCTCGAAAAATAATAAAAGTCTATGATATTTCTGTAAAGTAATTTTCATAGGTTAAATATGACAATCCTAAATTCAGAAAATCAACCAAATACTGCACAGCCTTCATCTTCATTTCCCACGTGACATCATCTCTATACCAGATGAGCTGAGCAACATTTGGAGAATATACATCATTATTTATCTATCACTGATTATGGTTATTTTAAGAGTATACAATCAATTTATTTGAATTTATTTTTTAAAAAGAGATGTAATTAGGAAGCTACTGAAAGTGCCTGGTAAATGTACTGGTCGATTAGAAAGATTGTAGTGTTGCAGGAAGCGACACCCGACGGAGGAATTTGGATGCTCAGGCAACTTTGTTAGAGGAAGGAGAATTTATTGCTGGCAGAGAGCATGGGACATTCAACAGACTCAAAGCACCATCTCCCCTTGGTTAGATTTCTCACAGCTTATATACCCTTGCAGTGTCCATGCAAAGGGACACTGAGATTTCTCCTTTGTCTGAGATTTCACGTATGCCTCACGACTCAGGATGGAAGGGGGAGCTTCAGGTAGGGGGCTGTAAGGCAGGGAGGAATTTCCAGACCACTGGTCTTACAGGTTGTTTGTCTTGCGACCTTGGCGTTATCAGCACTGTTATAGGATTCTCGAACAGAAAGATGGGACATTGAGGCTATAAGTAGGAAGCAACACTTATTAATGCCAGCACCTGCTCAGCAAATTCCTATCCAAAGGCTGAGCCTCGATTATAACATAACAAGCAGTTTTATACAGTCTTGTTATTCCTACACAACTACAGAGATAAGGAAGGATATTAGTTGGTTGGCAAGCCATGAATCAACAGACGTGAGCTGGAGAGTCCTTGAGAAAACATGTCAGCTGGAGAGTCTTGGAAAGGGGAGAGAGGGCAGTTAGAAATAGGCTTTAACTGGCTGAGTTGGTCATTTCCGCAAGCCCTTTCCTTCAAATTTTTCAGATACCTCCTCTCCTCTCTTAGTAGGAAGTTAATAAGAAAGAAGGATTGCCTCCAGAGCCATGAGAGAGGGGAGGAATCTCAAAGTCACTCTGAGGAGATAAGACTTCCTTTAATCTAGACACTCATTTAAGTATGATTGTTTTTTTTGTTTGTTTTGTTTTGTTTTGTTTTGTTTGTGATACCACACATACATTTTCATCTAAACTAAATCAAACATGAGAATAGAAAAGAAATTTGCATTTCTTACTGTGAGTTCAAATAGTGATTTTTCTGTGTAACTTTCACACTGGGATGTGGTGTCTAATAAATGTTGGCTGAATTCGAACAAATTTTATCATCATTATGTTTGAACACACTTTATACATAAAAAAATAATATTCAGCCTACTAAAAGCCATTTGTTGCACAGAACACTGCTAAAAGGATCTGAGTTCACCACAGGACTTAATTTGTCCACCAAACATAACTGCATTGAGTAAAATCAGAAAACAACATGGAGCTGCCCATCAAGTCTGAGTCACGCCTTTCCCTGTCCCTCTGCCACTGCCTGCATTTACTTCCTGAATCATATTAGCCACAAGCAGATGCACATGAACGAGAACATGTGCTCTTAATAATACCTGCTTTGATTTGTAAGAGAGCTCGAGATGCTTTCTCTACATTTGGGGCCAAAGCCCTCACTCAGAAGTTAAGCCTGCTGTCTCATGGTACTCAGGCTCTGCCCAGGTCTCCACTTACATTATTTTTCTGCAAGAACCTCAGCGCCTTGTTGACATTGTTCAGGGCGTGAACTCTTGTAGATCCTTTTTCTTTTGGCTGAAAACAAAATGAAACAATGTTTACCACCCAGAAGGAAGAATGACAATCTATGGAAAATGGAACAATTACATATTTCACTTCTAAATATGAGTATTTGAAATGAACACAGACTATGGGGCATTAACATAATGAATTTAAGTGTCTTGGGCTCATTGTCCTTGTCACAGGACTTTCTAACTTTCTTAGCATGACTCAAACACTCCTCAAGAAAAAACTGACAGCATTTTTTTCCTTAATAAAAGCTGTTTTGGTTATGATCTCTCCATTTTACAGCCCAATTGAGGGTTACTAAGTGACCTCTGAGAGAAACATCAGAGTGCCTAATAAGGGCATTCACTAGTAAAAGAGAAAAGTGAGTTAATTTCTAGTCTTCTTAGCAAAGTTTAAAAGAGATTTGAGCCTAGCAGGATTATATAATGCCAAATAGGGTTAAAGAAAACTATTTCTGTGAATATTACCTTAATTCTCTTACTCACTGAAGCTCAAACCTCGATCATCTTTGGTTCTCTAAACCTCATTCTCAATCCCAAGTCATATCTTGTCCTTTTAATTTTTAAACTAACATTTGCATAGTTCCTTACAACATATGGATTAACTCATTCACTCAGTTGTGAAGTTTTAGAAATTCTACTGTTATGATGCCTGCTGCATTCACTCCTAAAATGAAATCTACCCTTCTTAATAAATTTTTAAGTACATAATACAGTAAAGCTAACTAGTCATGAGGTTGTATAACCATTCTCCGAAACTTATTCATCTTGCATAACTGAAACTTTATATGAACAGCAACTCCCTATTTTCCATATCTCATATTAAATGTTCTTATCACAATAAAAAATAATTTAAACTTAAAAGGTCATTATGCATAAAAGTCCTTATAAAAATACATTCAATAACAAAGATACCAAATATCGAAAGTGAATGTCTATTAATTGACCAATTATATACTAAAAAAAATTACCTTCTTGTTGTGCACATGACAGACTATGCCAAAATGAAAATCATACTGTGAGATTGTTTTATTCAGGACTAGGTCCTGTATTACTAGTTAAATCAGTAATTGATAAGTTAGTGAATTTTACTAAGATCTCATACAACTATGCTGAGTTTGTTTCCGGTCTGAAATTATTCTAAGGTTAATGTGAACTTTCTTATAAGTAAGTCACATACCAGTTTTTGCCCTGTCAGGCCTTCAAGAAGATCTAGGAGGCGTCTCCCATCCTGCAGGTCACTGAAGAGGTTTTCTATATGCTGCTTCCCAAACTGAAATATGAAATATGTCCAGTTAATTTAAACAAAGCACGCTTCCAGTGATCTATTTCCATATGCCTTTGAAAATTTAAAGCTATGTTTAAGAATATTTAATGTATCTAATTCTTAATCTGCCAAGGGTAAAGGATGAAAAGAGAATCCTCAAGTAAACAAAACAAAACAAAACAAAAAAAACAATATGTGATCACTACGTCAAATCTATTAAAAGAAATTTTTTATAACAAGAGTTGGAGATCTGTAGCTTAATTGATCGAATTAACTTGATTTTTTCGATGCTCATTCTATGAGGAGAGAAAAATATTTAAAATATCCGGGAGTTAGTGGGAGAGGAGAAGTAAATACACAAACAAAGAATGCACATAATTTGCCTTGGGTAGGTGTATAAAATTTAACCATTTGGAAATATAATACATAATCTTCGAGGGTTCACCATCCTTCATCCATAAAACAAGTTTTCTCTGCATATATATTTTGCATGCTGCCTCAGAATGACCCATTCTCATATTGGATGGCTCCAATTTTAAAAAGATCAATTTACATTGAATTGAAATTGGACAGTGAAAGCTTTTCATCTTTTCTCTTCAGTTCCTTACTTAGGAATTACAGTGAGAAAAAATAATAACCACTAATAACAGGTAACATTTTTGGAGTAACTACTCAAGAGAAACATTCTACTAAATGAGTGGATCTTATAATCATTGTTGTGACATTTCTGTGAGGCTGGTGCTGATCTAACTCCTGGGGCCCTTGTTCTTTCTGTTTTATCTTGCTGCTTCCTTAGCCTTTTTCTCCCTCCTATTATCTTTTAAATATTTTATTTCTTCTGCCATGCCCTGAAATATTTTCTTTTCCTGGTCCCTTCATATAAAATGATGTACAACTCTTTCATCACCCATGTTATCTAGAAAGCTGTAATTTATCAGTGACAGATATTTATTGAGCATCAATAAACCTGAGCTAGGTGCTGGAGTACACACTATCAGATGGACATGATCCTGGCTCTTGTGGAAGTTCAGGTCCAGCAGGAAAAACAAATATTCATAAAAGATAATATTACACAGAAGCAGTAAAAGGGATCCCGGAGCACCTAACTATGGGAACTCCGATAGTCTTGGGATCATTAAATACTTTCCCCAGAATATCAGGTGATGGGTTTAACATTAGCCTTCCAGTGATTGGACTCTTCTCATCTGCTCCTTCGATCACATACAAACACTGAATCTCATACAGGTCAGTAAAATCAAGAAGATCCCTTTTTCCACAAAAGACATCTCTGAAGCTTCCAAGATTGAAGACATAGGAGTCAGGCTCTCCCTACTGCCTAGTCAATGACTAGCTGTTTCACTTAATGAGAACACTGACCCCGGCAAAAAGTCCACCAGCCATTCTGTGCCCAGCTTTGGAAATTGAACCACATATGTGTTTTAACAAAGATAACTACAAGTTATCATTTTGGAATTCTACTCAAATAGTTCTGCTCAAAACTCCTCGAGAGAAAAGAAAACAGAAACACTAATGCACTGGAATTCTTTCAAAGCATCTTTAGTACACGTAATATACAAGTAAATCTTAAAACAATAGTGCCATTTCCATGAAAGTTTAAGGAAAGCTTTTAACAAGTAAAGAAAAAGAAAAAGAAGGTATTGTTTATAATAATTCTGTCAAGAATGTCATATATAACCTGGCATTTGGGGAGTAATATTAAGATTTTATTTTCAAATTGGTTGAAAGTCTACAATGCCTTGAAAATGCTGTTTTTGTTTGTTTGTTTGTTTGTTTGTGTTTTACTTTTTCAAGATGCTTTTGAGAAGTGTGTGGCTTCTAAACTTATCAATAAAAAGAACACTGCACACTGAAATGAAGTTTTGAAGAAAGTAAAATATAGGTAGCTGACAGAGATATGTGCTCATTAAAATATGTCTAGATAGGTAGATGATGATAGATAGATGATAGATAGATAGATAGATGATAGATAGATAGATATAGATATAGATAGATAGATAGATAGATAGATAGATAGATAGATAGATAGATAGATAGATAGATAGATAGATAGATAGATAGATAGATAGATAGATAGATAGATAGATAGATAGATAGATAGATAGATAGATAGATAGATAGATAGATAGATAGATAGATAGATGATAGATACATAGATAAATTGATAGATGATAGATCGATAGATAATAGGTAGGTAGGTAGGTAGGTAGATAAGTAGATAGATAGATTAGATAGATAGATAGATAGATGATAGATAGATAGATAGATAGATAGATAGATAGATAGATGATAGACAGACAGACACATCAATATACGTGGTATAAAATAAAGCATGACCCAAAGGCAATATGGACCATCTAGCATCCAAGACAAGAGAACTAGAAAGCTTATGCTTTTGAGTAAGGAGTCTAGAAAACGTCAATAAGGCAAACAGGATCTTGCTTTGATCCACACTTATATACACAGACCAGGGTATTTTATAACTCTCCCTTTTAAACTAGAATCGGACAAAATGGAGAGGGAGTGAAGGATTGTAGCTAGTCGGAGGCCTCCAGGCACATTTGGTTGAGGAACCTAAAAAGCAGTGAGGTGACAGAAAAAAGTAGTTCCTGGTATCATATATAACTTTCAAAGCTCACAGAATCGATGCTATGTTCAAGTATCACAACTAAAATCCAATTTCTATTTTTTATATTCGCCATATTCTCTAACAGAGTGCTTCTCAGAATGTTCCTTCCAGCAGATGAGACCGAAAGAATTTATCTTGGAGTCTGCCAGTATAAATTACACAGTGACTATAAGTTCAAAATCTCTATGAAAATGTATTCATATGTTAAAAATTCATGGAGATTTTGCCTTCTTCTCTTAATGTATGTCTGTTTTAACTTAAAAGTAATTTCAAGCACTTTTGAGTAAAATTTCCCCCTCCTGTGGTCTAACTAAAATTAAAGTAATGCTTACTGAAATGTCCAATCGTTAGCCTGTAACTTCATGGAACTTCAGGTGCTTATCTTATTTCCCCGATAGTATGAATATCCCAGGAAAAGAAAACATCTAATTTCTCTTGGATGGTTTTCATGTCTTTCCTAGATTCAACTCCTCATTCCACAGCATTATAGATATGACATAGCAAAAAGAGCACACGTTTCAGAGGCAGAAATAGCTGATCTGTAAACTCAAGTCTCCTGTTCACTAGCCGTGCTATCTCAAGCAAGTGACTTACCCTTTCAGAGATACAATTTACTCTCTAGTAATATAGGGATTGGAATCATACCACTTCAGAGCACTCCTCTGAGGTTTAAATGAGACAGTGTAGGTGTGTTTACAGACTTGGCAAATAGTGGGGATTCAATGAATATAAGGTGATTTTTATGTTTTATTCCTCTATTATTCCTTGCATTCTCTTTCTTGGCTAAAATCTAGATGTAAATATAATTATGGTACATTATTAAATCTACTAGAAAGTATAGAACTCACATACAATGTGTTGTTTTCTCATAGTTTGGGACCTCTGTAAGAGTGAAGGTCAAAGAGGAGAGATGTCACTCCATATTCAATTACTAATACTGATAAATGTGGATGGCACTCAGGAAACACTCAGAAGCTTCAAGTGCTTTTTCTTTTTTCTTGTTCTTTTGGTTATTTTTAATTAAATCTTCTTTTGTTTTCCTCCCTTTTCATCTTCTACATCTACCATGTCCTTTTGCTGCAAGTGACATTTTATGTCATGAAAACAGTAATATTTCTTTAAAATTCCCACTCTTAATGGCTTTTTCTCCAAGTGTATGAAAATTATTTTGTAAAACACACGAAACATTAAACCCTCTTTGGGCCCTATAACCCTGTGGCTCTTTGTCTTCAATCCCTTTCATCACTAATATTTTCTTTAAAAGCAAACTTTTGATATTACTCAGCAGTTTCCTGTATTCACTTACATATTGTCTTCTTCCTTGCTAACCCAAATGACAAGATAAAAGGACCACAAAATGAGATAACAATCCTTCCATATCATTGTCAGTATGATATAAAAGAATATAGAATTTCTTTGTATCTTTATATAGACCATGTTCAAAAAGAAACTCAGACAGGTTATTGGTAAGTGACATAAAAAACGTGAACAAAATGAAAGTGAAAAAAAATTGAGAAAGGGACAGAAATGCATTTGTGAAAATATTCAATAGCTTCTGACTCTTCAGAGTTATGTCAATTTTTTAACCTGAAAATATAGAGAGATCAATACAGTGTTCCAATAGAAGGTAATGAGCACAGGAATACTTTAGCATGGCCTTCAGGTTACAGAAAGGTCAGGCTCTGGACATTTCTGTTGCTCGGAAGGTCAAGATACTTCTCTGTGATCACAAATCTTTAGAAACTAGAAAAACCAAAGCCCTGGAAACACTAAAAAGGAGGTCAAAATTGATTCAACACATATTGGTGAATGCTCGTGACCAGCTCTCAGGAAAATAACGCAACCCACTATAATATAAATTAGCAGTTTTCATAGATGGTTGTTTTTTTTTAAGTATAGGTTATAAAAAGTATTTTACAAGAAAACTTCATTAACATATAATATACGTATGGGAAAGTACACATATCTTAAGGGTTAGCTGAATGAATCTTCACAACAATTGAACATTATCAGTATCGGATAGATAAACAGAATATGATCAGCCTCCTGGAAGCTTCCTCATACTCCCTTCTGTGTACTAGCTCCTTCAAGAATGACCACTATATTGACTTTTAGTATTATGATCAGTTTTGCCTTGAACCGAGTCTCTTAAAAATAGAAGAATAATGCTTGTTTAGTATTTCATTTTAGGAAATTGATGATTGAAAGACATCAGATTTAGGCAGAGAGAATTTGGAAAGAAAAAAAGTTGCATTGATGAAATATGTTTTACAAAGCCCAAGGAAGTGGTGTAATACAGTGAATAAGAATATTTTCTGTACCTAAAGTGTCTTGATTCAAATCCCAGCTCTGCCATACTTTAGCTGTGTGATATTGAGCAAG